TAAATTTCCATCTTTAAAGCGTTTAACGCTGGATACAAATTACAAAGAAGGAAGGTGCCACAACATCATTTCTATACCTTCCACAACTAATTCTATTAATGACACGATCAGGGCACTAGTGAATCAGTCTTAAGAGATCGGGCCGTTCCGTTTACAGCTCACAGCTGTTGACAGAAAACCCTGCTCTGCATCTCGCACGCAGCAGGACTGAGAAAACCTCCGTCATGGGCCCTGCTCAGGTGCGCCACTCCTACTGTGGCTCCCAGACGGAGGCATCTGAAGCATTTCCAGACAGCATTCCTTCGAGATGGTCTCGCTGAACGCGCAAGTCACAGGACAGGAATGCGAGGCAAGTTTCCATCTGGGCATTCCATGAGTCACAGGGCAGGCGAGCCGGCGCTAAAGGTTTCGGGCAGCGGGAAAAAAAAAAACCCAAATCAAACGAGCTAGGTGATGTACACCTACGGCAGCCTCACGTCAGCACTCCCCCTGGGAAAGGACAGCAGGTCAGAGGGGCTGCAGTGAAGAGAACGACATCTCACCCCGAAAGGCCGATTTTACAGCAGCGGAGGGAGGCAAAACGAACTCTAGGAGTACTCCCGAGAGCGGTCGATGGCGCGGAGATCCTGGGGGCACTTCGGGAACGTTCCCGGACGGCCTGCAATTCACCCCGACGCCCCTGCTCGCATGCTCTGCGCTCCCGAATCCGGCTGCTTCGGGCTCCGCTTAAAACTCCCTGTGAAATCAGCTCCAGAACCACCCCCCCCCCCCAACCGCCCTCCGAGGACAGGACTCACGCACCTGCTTGCCGTCCACCTCGATGTCCGCCACGTAGTTCTCGAAGACGGTGGGGACGTACACCTCGGGGAACTGGTCCTTGCTGAAGACGATCAGGAGGCAGGTCTTCCCGCACGCGCCATCCCCCACAATCACCAGCTTCTTCCGGATCGCCGCCATGCCTGCGCGCAGGGGGGGCACAAGCGGCTTAATCATGGGTCAGAGCGCCTTTCTGCCGCCCCGTCACACCTGTGTTGCTGTCCAAGAACGGGGTCACTCCCCGCAGCAGTGCGGTGTTGAGTTGCCTCCACAGCAGAGACAGCCCACTCTGTGGCTCACCCAGACCCCCCCCCAGTCATTCAGCCGATCACCAGAAACGGTCATCACTCAGCAGTCACTCGGCAGAAACCGCTACAGGTTGTACCTGAGGCGATGGCGACGGGAAAGGGGGGGGCTGCCGTGCGACTGGACTGAAGGGGGCGCAGCAGCACAGCCCTGCAGCTTCGCTCTGGGGCATCTGAACCTCTGGGGAGCATTGCATGCAGCACAGGCTCCCAGTGTGGGGTCTTGAGGGACCCCCCCCGTATCACCTAGTTGTGTTCACAGCCGGGCCAGCGGATTTCAGCTGGGCCTTTTTGAGGCGCATTTTTAAAACCGCCGTCACAGTCCCAAGAGCTCAAGGGGACCGGCCGCTGGTTCCCCGAGGTTTCAGAGGCGCCGCCGCCCCTCGGACCACAACAATCCCCTCTCTCTGTGGGCGTGTCTGAAACACCTGGGTCCTTCCATCACGAGCTGCTCAAGCACATTCTTAAGAAGCAAGCTGAGGTGAGTCCACACGCCTTCTAAAACCACGGACTAGGCTACACAGGTAAACGGACAGGCAGATCAGTTAAGAGGCACCAATAAGCACCCATGACTTAAGAGGTCAGCCCGAATGAAATCAAGCCATGACGGCGATCCCCAGGAACCACTGGAGCAGGGGACCCACAAACGATGTTCTGATGCTCCGTGCAAGCCTCTGCCTGAGCGCCCGAGCGAGCCATCGAGAAACGGATCCTGCCCCCTGTGTCTACACGCACTTCTCTCTAGCTGCTGGAAACAGGATGTTGCCACACGCGATGAGTCCTCGCCCGCGGCGCTTCTCGCACTTCCTGTCTGCGCGGCTGGCTGGTGTCAGGCCCGCCCGCCTGCCCGCCCCAGAGCGGAACACCCAGCGCTCCCACCAGCCCCAACAGGGAGGCCAGGCCGTTACCGGACAACAAACCGCCAATAACTGGCGAGAAACGCCGACCACCTTATCTGAGCTTTAACAACACGATACATCAAACTCTCCGCAGACTTTCCAGGTTTCTTTAAAGCAAGATGCCGTTAAACTGGTCTAATTAGACCAATTTAACCGAGGTTAAAAAGCCAACAACTGAGACTGGAAACCTGTGAACACCCACCCGACAGGACCAGGATTAGACGCCCCTACCCTACAGTTTCCTGTACGTGCAGAACTGTGCTGGATGAAAATGTACCCACAAACTCAGCTGTGCATCAATATACTTTCTGCTTTACCAGCTGTGATAAACACATGTGGAGCCACTTGTCACTGGAGGGTCGCGGGTTCAAATACCGGGTGGGGCTTCACTCAGATCACACCTGACCTGCCCTGCCAGACAAGTCATACATCAGCCAAATGACTGCGACACGCTACGTCCTAAAAAAAAAAAACTAACTGCAGAAGCTGGCAGAACAAAAGCCGACGTCCATCCCAGAGAGCCTCTAATCCAAACACCAGTGTAACTTACAAGACGGCTCTTACAAAGTTCTCACTGTAGGAAAACTTTCCCTACAGAGTTTGATTTTTTTTCCCCCCTAACCTATGTTGGAAAAAGTTTGGAAAACGGGGCAAGGTTTGGTGTCACAACATGCCGGCTCTCCCAGCAATCCTCCGGTCCTTCCCAGCCAGAGCAGAGCAACTCCCCCCCCCAGCAGAGATGCCCCCTCCCCCAGAAACATGCTGGGTGAGATCAGACCCCCCACCACTTCGCTGCTGTCGCCTCGCGGCTGCGCTGACGGACTCCTCACAGGGCGCGCCACCCACAGAGCCCTGGGGGGTCCGACTGACACCCCCAACTCCCACATCAACAACACCTCCAGAATCAAGGGGGTTCCCCCTGCGGAGGAGCTGCCAAGCCCTTCGGTCTCTTTCAGCTCAACTGGCCTCCAACACAAACCCTGCCGAGGAGGCTGAGTGGTCTTGCCCTGCCATGACCCTGGACCTCTACAGACCCTGCAGGAATCCCCCCTCGCAGGCAAACGGAGTGAACAAAATAAGGAACATCCTGGAGCAGCCTGGGAGATTCCAGTCTTCCGTCAGGAAGCACCGCGTCACGCAGGGAAGACTTCTTCGGATCCCGCGCGAATTCCTTCGCAGGCTCTCGGGAGCGACAGCATCCACCGGTCCCGTCCCGGGCGGCTCTGGGTCTCCGCCCGCGGTGCCAGCTCGCTCGGGCTGCTCCAGGGGGCGCTGGTGCCACCTCGGGTTAAAGGTAGCCTCAATTTTGCGATTTTTGTGTTTTTGTGAATTTTTGTGATTTTTGTGAGTTCGCAGAAAAAGACGTTTCATTGCCAGCAACTACTGCTGCACTCCATATTGTTGTGCACTTGATAAATAAACTTTGATTTGATTTGGTTCAGCCCGCGGCGGATGGGCCAGGGTAGCGGACCCCCTTCCACGCAGGGCGACGCCCAAGCGTGAATGAAAGACCCAACAACAACAACAACAACAACAACAACAACAACAAGAGAGCTTCACTGGAATAAGAAACGCGTGTTTGTGAATTCAGGTCTCCTGCAGGCAGAGGAAAGTGGACAAACAGGCTCCTTCAGGGGGTCGTGATGCTCGAGGAGGGTCCACGTCCAGCAGAGCCAGGAGCAGACGGACCCCCCAGAGCCGCCTCTCCTCACCGGGACAGAAGCGGGGTGCGGCTCGCCGTGCTCAAGTCACCGGGCCGGAGCGCCGAGCCCCTTCACGGACGGGACGTCTCAAATCTAAACCCCCCACGTGCAACTTCCCTAGCGGCCAGGCTGGGGTTCCAGGGACTGAGACCCGCGTCCGGGACCCGACAGCCACACCTCGAATGCGGTGATCCGGGAGAAGCGGAAGTCATCCCGAGACGGACGCAGTCCTGATCCCGGACAGCGCGAGCCCTCACAGAGCTCGGTTCAGGGGGCTTCCTGTGCGCTCGACAGCAGCAGCTTCAAGAAGACGGTCATCGATCGGCAAGGCCCCAGGATGAAAAGCCGAAGATCCTTCAGGTCCGAAGAAGATCGGCTTGGACTATGCCAGAGAGAAGGGAGACCCAGGCTGAGCCCTGGCCTAACCAGGCGCCCTGTGTGAACACACCCACGACCTGCGCCTGGGTGACACAGCGGTGCAGCTGCCTCCGACAGAAATGACACAACGCCAAGCAACATGCCGACACGACACCACCGTGACGACTGGGAAAGGCGGTCCTGGCTTTGAGGAACATGGCAGCTGACGGCCTGACAGCTCACACCCGCACAGGAAGGGCGGCCCCCGGGGAGGGGGGGGGGAGGGATGGGGCTGACCACACAAAGCCGCCCGGACCTGCCTGGAGAGCGCGGGCAGCCCGGACCAGTCCTCGGGACAGGGCCTGGGAACCGCTAGTGCAGGGCCTGTCCGTAAGGCGGGCGACAAGATCGACCCAGTGATCATCAACCACGAAGCCCTAACTCCCGTCACACAGGAGGCTCTGAAACAAGCATTAGAGCAAAACTGGAGAACCACCTATATGGAAATCAGATACTCAACAGGGATTTACGACAGATCTTGCCTGATCAATTTAAGAGTCTGAACAAGTAACAACGACAACGGGACACAAGAGGATACGATATGCAGCAGTCTGGTTCTCAGAAGACTTCCGATTAAATTCCCCATAAAAGTAATTCTCTAAATCCAGGCCTCTGCCATTTTAGAAAACAGAGGGTACACCTCAAGGGGCGAATGTGTTACATGGGGTGATGTCATTAGTGGAGTAAGACGCTGACCTGTAGTTGGATCACTGCTCTTCTTAATTCATATCAATGGTCTGATTCTGGCGTAGCCAGTGAATTAGTCAATTCTCCAGAACACACCAAATTAGCAGGATTAGCGAGGCAAATTATACACTACAATCCAAAGTGTAGAATTCAACACCCGAAGAAGACCGCACAGCCGAAACGTTGTTTCCTTTCTTCTCTTTTCAGCAGGAATAAACCCGTTACTTGTTCCTCTGCAGCCTGCGCATGCCGACGCAGCTCCCTGCCTGAACGAATTCCAACCAAAGCCCATTAGATCACAGTTGTACCATGTAGTTAGCAAGGCCTCGTTTAGAGTCGTAGACAGAAGTGGTTATTGGACTCCAATCTGTCCAGGGAAGAGAAACGAGATGCACCTCGGAGCTGAAGGGACTGTCCCACGCCGACAGCGGGTTGAACCGAACCTTTTTCAGTCTTGAACAAAGATGACAGGGGGACCCGATAGGAGTTTCCCCGATATTCGAGTATTTGAGGCATGACGGGTACCAGACCCGTCAGCGAAGAACCCTCCCTTGATCCCCGGGATCAGTTTGACTCCTGACTCCTACCACGGATCGCTGAACCGCTACCCCGGCCGGCAACGGCCTTCTCTCGGACCGAGGCACGCCGGGAACAAGCGGCTAGTCCCCGAGACGACGGTGGTGGAGACGGAGGGACGTCTGGACACGAGGCCCACAAGGCAGGGCTCTCCCGGCAGGCGGACGCTCAGGAAAGACCCCCGATGAATCCCGCAGGACACAGACAGAAGGGCCGGGCCTGGCATCACTCTAAAAGGCGTCCTAGATCCGCTTCCCCCGTACGCCAACGCGGGTTCCTCGGCGCGGCTTGGCACCGGCGCCAGGCCGACAGGTCCTCCTCCCGCGATTCCACACAACCCACAGCGGCGCAAGGCAACAAGCCGCCGCCGCCCCCCCCCCCAGGCTGTGGCTGCCGAAGGCGGCATTTCTCCGGTGGGGAGAAAAGGCTCGGTCTCCGCCGGCGTTCCTTAGCCCCTCTCCCGCGGCTCACGGCCGCATCGGAGCCCCGCGGACGCTCTGGATTTCGAGAGGCGCTACTGAAAACCTCCAGGGAATGAGCACAAGCCAGCCGGGCACCTGTGCCGCCCGCCCCCGACGCGGGGAATACATTCCGCAGGGGTCCGAGGTCGCGGCCCTCCCTCGGGGACAGAGCTCCCGCCTGGCGTTTAGACACTAGGTGCCCCAGGGAGCAGGTGGGAGGTGTCCCTGTAGTGAACGAGCCGCTCAGCCGGCTGCAGAGGTTTCCTCCACCCAGATTGCGCCCCCGCCCGTGAGCAGCAGCCGATTCGCCTGTTCATTTATCATTCCCAGCTATTGAACGTACCTGCCCAGGCTGGGACAGGCCCGCAGGCCTTGGTTCACACCCGGGGGCTGCACTGGGAGGACCGGGGCGCCCCCCCGACACGCCCCCCAACTCGTCTGCGAGCGTCACCGCCTCGAGCCCACAGGAGGCTTGGGAAGGCCGCGGGGGGGTAACGGTCCTGCCGGGAGCCGGGGACGACTGTGGAACCGCTTGGGGGAATCCCACTGACAGCTGGGGGCACAGCCCGGACTTGAACCCGCAACACCTGGATGGCGGAGCCCGGCCCGCTCCCCAGCACAACTCCTCCACTAGTGGAGCCTTTCAGGAGACCACATTGCCCAGGGGGAAGGGGGGGGGATGTTTAAGCTTACTTTAAACACTTACAAAGACTAGGTACAGATTTGAGAAACGTTTCATTTGACATTCCCCGAGATCGACTGGAGTTGCCTGTCAATTCAACATTAAGCACCCAGTTGACTTGCAATAAATATTTGATGCGTCTTTGCCAAGGCCTTTTGGCACCACCTCTTAAACCGAGACCCAGAAGGTACGGAGTTGCTTTTCAGCAGCTGCATCAGCCCGACAGCAGGAGACCCCCCTGGTGAATTCATCGCAACAGTTCTTCTGTCTTTTTACAAAGCCTGCGTAACGTGAAGTCTAGTTTATTCTTTGTGTCCAGGTAAATCTGTTCCGTGCTCAAAACAGCCAATACAAGTCAGTGTTTTAAGTGGTGCCTCAGCCTTCCCCAAACCTAAAAACACTTTTATAAGATGGGGATCAAGAAGAACACCTGTGAGTAAAACACAAATGTCAGAGTAATGAAAAATAATAATAGGAACACATTCACTCACTGGGGACGCGATGTTGATTGACACAGACGGCAATTCCAGTCTAGGAGAGAGAGTGTGACACTCTGGGGTCTTTTAGGTGCGAGGAGCTGGTTGAAGCTGTGAAACCGGTGCAATTAAAGCAAACAACGAGCTTGTCGAGAGTAAATGTGCAGACAACCTGCCCTCCTGGACCACAAACGACCACCCTTGCAGTAGGAAACGGCTCTCTAACGGATATTATCCACAGATCGCCTAGTCGCTACGCGCAAAATCGAGATGGGGTGAACAGCCTTCTCGGAAAACGAGAGCGTCCATCGGCAAGACAAGACGACGGTGTATTCCACAAAAACGCGGGCATCTCCGCCCCGCTCAGCTTGTAGAGCTTGAGGGAGAATATATATATTTTTAAACCCCCTCCCCCAAATCAGCAAAGCTAGACGAGAACGAGTGCTCCAGAGAAACGCGACGCGGGCAGCAGCAGCAGAAAGCGTTGGCAACACTCGGGGTAAAGAGGGAGACTGTTCATCCTCTCGCAAAAACGCCCCCCTCCCTCCCAAACAAGAGGCCACAGCAAGCACCGACGACAACATCCGCAAACACCACCCCCACCAGCAGCAGCCATTGCCGAGCTCCGACAGCACGGGCTGCAGCTGGGGCTGCACGCTGGCGAAGGCGATACCCTGTCTTCTTTCAGAAAGGGGCCGGCTGAGATCTCGGGATTAATTAACTACTAACTACTGAGCCGAACAGGCCTGGAGGGGGGGCGTATGGCTCCTGCCCTTTGCGATGGCTCTGGGGAGGAGGGGGGGAGTTGGTACCTTAAAGAGCACACATCCTTCACAACACCGGTCTGCGTAAACCAGTCCAGCAGGGTCAGACCACCTCCGAGACTCGGCACCCCGCTAAGATCCCTGGAAACCCGCAGAATTAAAACCCCTCCAATTAAAACGC